GTCAACCTTCTGATTAGCAGTCACATGCCTTAGGCACTACACCACCAGAACACATACATAAATAGAGAAATGGGGTAAGAGTGAAAAGATGCTAATAGCTGGTGAAAATGGGAGAGGCTTATAAAGGTGTTCAGTGCATACGTGTTTCTTTCTTGTGGGTTTAAAAATTTTCACAATAAAATATATATATAAATATTTAAAAAGAAAACAAGACATAAGATATTAGTTGACAGAGGGAAATTAATTGTACTCAGATAAATAAAACTTCCTCTGCAGTTAAATCAGTTTTATATTATTAACTATCCCAGTTAATTTTACTTCTGAAGAAAATATTTTAAAAAGTACCTAGGAAACATGTGTCCATTTTCTTTCACTTCTTTACAAGGAAAATGATGCTTGATGTCTGGCTTGTTTATCCAAGTCTGAATGTTTACAACTTCTTTTCTATCATCATCTGACATTGAAGAACTGTCAATTTCATCTATAAAGAATTGAGACAGTTAAATGTGAATAGCTTCTCATAAAACAAACTTTTTAAATGAGACATTTCTTAACATCCTGAAATAAGGACTAGTAGTGTTTTAAACATAACGCTAAAAAAATTTCCCAAAACAATTCTAATTTTGCTACTATATTCCTTAGGTGACCAATTCTACTACAGAAATACTGCTATGAAAGACCATTATGTAGAGGAAGAAAGTTAGATGAAAACAGTGAGAATAAGTATTTTTAAAATTAAGCTATCTGTGGGAATTTTCAAATTTTTTGACACAGATAACATCCATCTCATCTCTGACTACTTGGTAGAGAAATGGATGATGCTCCAATAATAAGCACACATCTATGTTGAGGACAAAGATGGTAGGGTTCTTTTTCTATTGCTGGTTTCTGACTTAAAGGGAAAATATGTAATGTAATCTATCTGGAGATACACAAAGTAAACTCAATTTAGTTTTTTTATTTTTTTCCTTGAGAGAAATAGAAAACATTCTACTTACTTTTTTTCTAAGTTAAGAAAGGATAATTATAGTTCCTAGAATTATTAATAATTATTAATGTTCTTCCCTTTGCTTTCTAATAAATCCTTCAAAATAAAGAGACGAAAAGGAAATCACATGTATCTAAAAAATGTACCAGTAGTATTTTAAACATAATGATTGAAGAGAAACCAATTGATCCTTCAGCTTAAGAAATAAAAATGAAGCCCTCTAGTATCTTCCCCAGTCATATTCTTCCTCCGCATCTCACTACCACCACCCACAAGGACCAGTGACTACTTGAATTTGGTGTTACCAGTTCCAAATACGTTAACTAACTATATATGAATATACCTAATAATAGAGTTCTGTTTTGCATTTTAAAATTCATATAAACAGTAGACTACTCAGTTGTACCTTGCAAATGCTCAACATTAAGTATGTGAGACTTATCCATTTTCATACAGTGTGGTGTAGTAAATTACATAGTGTGGCTTTTCTAGCCTTTGTAAACTCTGTAGTGGTATTTGACATGAGCAACTGAGTAGCTCCTGATTGTTAAAGTTATTCACCTGGGGTATTTCTGTTGAGCATGGCAGGAAGCAATTTTCTGGGAAGTTCTCTCTCTCTCAGGTGTATAGAATTCTGATGTTGGGATTTGTTAGTTTGGCCACTCTGCCAGGCTCAAAAGGAGCCCTCTTAGAGGCAGAAGAAATCTGACTGCTGGCTGAGAAAGAAATGCTGCTGAGAGAAACACTCTCCTGAAAGACACGCACTTCCTGAGAGAGAGATGTGAGAGACACATGCTGAGAGACTGCCGGCTGCTAAGTGAGACAGCTGCCTGCGAGAGACTGAGTGCATTTCTGAACTTGAATTGTAGTCTGTTGCTTCCCTAATAAACCCCATAATCTGTGAGTTTTATGTGGCTACTGCAACAAATTATCGAACCCCTAAGAGAGGTGGAAGGTGCTGAGGGAAGAACTGTTGGTGTCAGGGTTGGTGAAAGGGCTGGAGGGAGGTGGCATGTCTGGCCTCACAGGGATAGGCCTTGGGCTACTTATGGTGATTCTGTCTTCTTCTTGTGGGATTTAGAGGAGATCAGAAGATGTGGCCTCCCTGCCCCTTTGACACAAAACTATAGTTTTCTCATTTTCACTACCATGCAATTTCCCATGGTATAAATATATTAGCTTGTTCACCCAGTCTCCTCTCTTCCCTTTGTTAACAGGCCAAAACATAATCAAAAGGATAAGGGAACTGAAAAGCACACTAGAAGGAGTTAAGGTATTCAAGAAGAGACAGAAGCTGATAGATTAGAGATAGCAACAGAGAGAAAAAGAAAAACAATTAGAAATAGCACACTGACATTAACACAAGTTTTCTGAAAGGTGATTTTCTAATGTTGTTGTTGTTGTTGTTTGCCGTCGAGTCGGCCCCGACTCATAGCGACCCCTCCTTGGGTTTCCGAGGCAGTATCACTACGATAGTAGGATTGCCCAACCTTCCTTCCGAGGAGTGGCTTTTCTAGTATCTATTAAAATATCAAATATGATACCCTCTAATTGAGAAGTCTCACGGTTAGGAAGGTACCCTACTGATATACATGCAAAAATTTGTCAAGATACATGTATACAAATATCTATTGCTTTTTTTTAAAATGCATTTTATTGAAATATAATTTATGTACAGTGAAATACACAAAACTAAAGTGACATGGGTCAATGCCCCTTTTTTTTTTTTGCTGTGTTCCCTCCCCTCCCTTCCACCCCTAGTAACCAACAAAGAAAGTTTTCCTCCATATATATAAACCTTTCCTTGACTCTCCACAACAGCGAACTAATACTGTATTTGTCCTTCTGTGATTGACTTATTTCACTCAGCATAATGTCCTCCAGGTTCATTCACATTATGCAGTTTTGCAGCCTCTACATTATTCTTTAGTGCTGCATAGCATTCCATTGTGTGTATGCACCATAGTTTGGTCATCCACTCTTGCGCTGATGGGCACGTAGGTTGTTTCCATCTTTTTGCTATTGTAAATAGTGCTGTGATAAACATGAACATGCATGTATCTGTTCCTATCCTGGCTCTCACCTCTCTAGGATATATACCTAGTAATGGGATTGCTGGGTCAAATGGGATCTCCAATTTCAACTTTCTAAGGAATCACCATATTGCTTTCCACAGTGTTTTTGTCACTTCACAGTCACACAAGCAGTGCATGAGAGTCCCAATCTCTCCACATCCCCACCAGCATTTGTTATTTTCTGCCTCACTGAACCTTGCCATCAGTGCTGGGGTGAGACGGTATTATCTTGTTGTTATGATTTATATCTTTCTGATGGCCAATGATTGTGAGCATCTTTTCATGTATTAGCTGACCACCTGAATGTCCTCCTTGGTGAAGTGTCTATTCATGTCTTCTGCCCATT